GGCAAGGGCGGTCAGCCGATAGCGGGGGAAGTGGAGACACACACACACACAGAGAGAGAGAGAGAGAGAGAGAGAGAGAGAGGGAGAGGGGGGAGCGCGCGCCGTTTTTCACCGAGGTAGCCGGCTTATTATTGCGTTTTCGCGGATTACGTTCCAGGCTCGCGCGCGGCAATTTGCCGCTCGCGTGTAACGTAACGACTCGAGAAGAGTGTCATTAATTTCCGTGCGCGCGCGCAGTTCAAGGATTTCGAAGGAAACGGCGTTGTAGAGCAAAGGCACGTAATTGCCGTCGAGGATGGACAAACAAAACGTTGCAATTTAATCTCGACCGCGAAAAGTTCGCTCCTCCCTTCCCCCATCTACGCCCTTATCCTCCCCCACGAGATATTTGCGGGCCGGAACGTAAGCTCGTTTTCTTACCCCCGGGAACTGTAATTGACGTTAATCTCGTTGCCACGTCGGAGTAATGAGCCGGGCTGTTTATACGTGTACTCTCTTTCGTCGAACTTAGTTGCGGCTCCGCAACCGGGTGAGCGCGTTTATGGCTGCCGTTCAATCGGCAGTTTTCGCGACCTCCGGTGCTTTTCATTCCGCTAAGTCGTCGCTCGCTGTTTTGATTTAAGTAGAACTCTTCGCGGCAAGGACGTCACGTCCGGTAGGTCCAATAGAAGTGCTCGTGACACCAAACTCGAGTGGATTGGCCAGCCGCCGGTGAGACAACGACGGCAGCCACGACGACGACGACGACGACGACGACAGGCGTGGAAGCGAGGAAAGGGCGAGAGATAAAGAGGAGAGCCCCGTGTGCGCTCTCTTTCTCCCTCTCCCCTCTGCCTCTCTTTCTGTGTGTGTATATGTGTGTGCTCTCCTCTCAAACTATTTATTCCGGCACAAATCGCATTACCAACTTCAACTGCAAAATTGACTTCGTCCAACTTTTACGGCGCCTCCGCCCTTACGCCCCTTCGACGCCACCCGCACGGTCAGAACTTCGACTTGTACGAGGGTTTACCAAACTCAGTTTAAGAAGAAGAAGAACTGTTTCAGCCAGAGAGAGAGGGACGCATCTTGCGGGACTTTCTCCTCTCCCTCGTCGATATAAAATCGCGCGACGCGAGCTTCCGGCGGAATGGCAGTTCGGAAGTTCGAGCCGTCAAGAATAACGAACGGTATCATAGTCGTAACTCGTTATACGTTGTTCTTACTCCCCTCTGCCCCACCCCTCTCTCTCTCCGCCCCCGCCACGAGCCCGTCCCTCTCCCCACAATTGAAACGTAACAAACGAGTCCGTGTCTTTGTCTCATCTGTGTCTGAGAAAGAGAAAGAGAGAGATCTTCGCTAATCTATTCCCCGCTTACAAATCGGCCTCTCTTACCGGCTCCGCGTCTTTGCCATCTCGCCGCGCCGCGCTTTCGTTCTAAATATTCATTCTGCTTGGAATTCATTAACAAGCTTCTCGCGCGATACACTTTTCCTGAAATTCCACGTTTAATGCGCCGCCTTTAATGGCGGCCGCGCGCTCCCATTCCTCGCGCGGCGTTGCAAAGTAGAACGTTATGATTACTAACGTTGAAAAACAGTCATTACGTCGTTTATGAGCTCGCGCTTCTCGCTCCGTGGGGTGTTACCATGGACGATCTAATTGGCGCGAGCCACACAAGTAGATTCGCTCGACTGCAACGGCGGGCAATGTGCCTGCCTTGCGCCCGTTGTTACCACTTCGCCTGCGCTTTCTCCTCACCCCCTCTCGCCCCTCCCCCGTCTTACTCTCTCTCTCTCTTGGAACGTGGTAAAAGGAATTGCTAAATCACAACATTGCTGCATCATGTAGATAATAACACTACTTACATGATGCCTCACTAATATTTTTATTTAATCCGTCGGTTGTTTCTGTCTGACACGCTATGTCGCTCTCGTATCGTACATTTCTGTATAATTGCAAGTCTTCTTTGTCCATTGCTGCCATTGTTATCAAAATTATATACATTTCAACTCTTTGCTCTTATAGCATTAATAAGAGAGAAGTTACTGTCATCAATAACATGATCTGTATTTCATATCTACATTATTCGTGTCGCACCTTATTTTTTATCTTTTATCTTCTACTGTAGTCATTCAATTATACTGTCACTTTTGTCATCTGCGTCACTATCAATATCTCTTTCATTGTTACTTTCTACTATTATTGTACGCAAATCCTACAGCTGCATCAACTGTGACTATTTTTCATCAGTTAATTGCATGTGTCTCTGTGTTGCGTTTAAGGGGACTCTCTTTCTCTCTCATCCCGTAGCGCTTAATAAAAGATACTTCTTCTTCTTTTCCCTCCGGTTTCATGCTCCGAGCAATTTCGCGACTGCGATCTCGTGGGCGTGCGCGCGCGCCTCGTCGACGGGCGCACGTCTACTAATCGGAAATCCGGCAAACACGGCGCGGCGCGGCACATAGAAATTCGACGGTATCATTGTCGGGCGCGCGGGCCTGTGATTAATCAAAACGATAAACTATTCCTTATTAATAAGCCCTAAAGCGGTTCGCGCCCGAAGAGTGAGGCTATAACTCACGGGCGAGCAGATACCTTCTGGGCTTCGCATTAAAATTGAAATTAGCCACCCATTTGTCTTCCCGTTTGGCTTAATCGTGACTAGCCAGGTGATTTATGGTTTTCACTTCTACTGGGCGAGTGTAGTTTCCCTTCCCGGATACGGCGCAACGCGTAATGCAATTCAAACCCGAAGTCGACGGAAAAAAGTTTGGGCGCCGTGCGAGCGAGCGCGCGCTCATTCGTTCGTTCGCGATGAAAAGCATACCGCTTATAGCCGTATTGCGTGATCGCGCTATAACAGCTGTTGGAAAATAGTTTCGCCAGACTCGCGCGCGCGCAACTCCTTATTATATCCTAAACGCGCGGCCGTTTTGTGATATAATGTCGTCGCGCTGTATCGCCTCATGCCGTGACACCGTCTGCCGTCCGTATTCTCGCGCCTCCATAAACAGTTTATCGCGCTTTAATTGGCATTAACTGTCGCGAACTTAGCGGTCTCGCGTACGCACATATATAATACGTGTTTACGCATGTGTACACGGTACGTACACGGAATTGCAGTTAACACCAGGTTTTCCAGGATCCGTCATGAATATGCAAGGAAACTTGCGCGGAGCGAGCGTTACATTGATCGATCGATAATAACGACGATGACTAATATACCGTGCGTATCGCGCATAAATATTCAAGCGGGCAAGGATGCGGTAAATTAACCGAATAATTAGTTCGCCACAAAACGTATCGCCTTAACCAAGTGCGCAAAACTGTATCTACGCGTGTGTCAATCGCGCGCAGCCGTGAGACGGATAATGTTGCGCGCGAGAGCCTCGGCGTCTCGAGACACGTATAAATTTCGGTTATGAAATTTACAGAAAATTTCGTTACATGTAGGCGCGCGCCTCGTAATAGCTTTCGCAACGCGTTCCAAGAGAAATGCAACAAAGCTTCCTGGTTCTATATCAGGTAGAGACGTGCATTGTTTACGAACACTTGCTCTAGTTTCCGATCACGCGGTGGCTAATGTGTGCGCGCAACCACATTCCGTATTTCATATTGATGCGCACGACTTGATATCACCGCAACAAACGCTGCGCGAATCGTTTAAGTGGATACACAACGTGTACAGCGAAATTTTACGCGCTCATAAAATATTGTGCGTCTTAACATCCCTCATTAGCGCTCGGCTATTAACATCCCTCATTAGAGGTAATGCTTAAGTTTCCACGGTTCTTATCGCCGCAGCGTATTCTCCGCAAATATTTCCATATCTCCCGATAAACACCGGTTTCAAAACACCGGCTGTATTATTGTAAACATTTCTTGGAATTGCTACGCAACAGTTTGGTTCGTTTTATTTCAAATTTGGCCTTGTTGTCTTCAACAGAAACAAATTATTTGTTAGCCAAGTGAGCGTCGTCGTTGTGCATGACATAATTCGTGGAAATTATTAGTATTGCTTGCATTACACCAAAATAAAAACTCTAGTTACAAAGTGCTATTTCCTGTAATTCCATATTCTAAGCGAAAAAATATTCCTCTTTTAATGAAGTAGACTATTAATCGGGAATTTACTGGGTATTATTCCAACTTTTTTCCTTTCTCTTTTGCATCTGAAGAATGATATCTTTACTTGAGGCGGAATGTCCTCTTAATAAAAGAAATTTTTATTAAGTATAAGACTTAAAGAGAGAGATAGTAGATAAAAGATGAAATTCATCTAACTTTAAGAATATCGTACTTAAGTTGCATTCTAAAACGTCTTTTTTTAGGAGAATTGGACTGAAAGTCTATAGAAAGTTTACGTTACGTACACTAATTTCAGTAAAAATTTCCTCAAAAAGATCGTTTTACAATGCAATCTTACAATATTTTCCTTTTGGTTTCAGAAGAATTTTGTCTATATATAAGAGTAAAATCCTCGACGATTCCGCTAAAAATGAAATTACATTTTGTTGAATGTACATATGTGACTCAATCTGTTGAAAACCAAACTTTTTCACTGATTCGAATAGTTTCAAACTATTTTTCTATTGAATTAATTATATTCATACGAATGACAGTTTAAACGAGTCATGCAGAACTTTAAATCTCAAAATCGATATGATAAATCGAGGAATTTAGGACAGCAAAAATTTTCATACCGAAGATATCGCGTGTGTTATTATTTTTACGAGTTCTGTCCGCGCAAGGAGACCTCGTTCCGCTTTCTGAAGGATGTCCTGTGTTACGCGCACGGTCACGCTTAAGAAAGAAGCTAGTGCTGTTCCTTTGCTTACTTCCTGATTATTTAACGATTGGTGTTACATGGTGGATCGCCTGGCGTGTATCCAGCTCAAGGTGAACCGCACTCTCCGTCACCATAAATAGCGAAATCGCGGCTGGTATGGGGGCTCGTGACGTAGGCAGGGGTGGGGTCTGTCAGATACTGTCGAAAGAACCGACCTGTTGGGAATAACCGGGTTCCGCTCTGTAATGCAGTGGTTCCCCGACCGCGGACACGGTCGAGACCCTGACGGCTTCGGCAGGCTCGGCACAGCGAAAAACGCGTCGAGACGAATTAACGGTCAGTCGATCAGTGTCGCGGCGTAGCTCGTCGATGGCCCTTCGGTAGTGGTGCACGCATCATGGAATTGATTCGGGCGCTTGTCCTGCTCTTTTGCCTCGTACACTCGTCCCAGCCACAGCACCTCGAAGTGGTTTACCAGTGGAAATATCTGAATTGGGTTTGGCCGAATATACAATTGACGGGGAAAAACTATACGTTTGGCAATTCCTTCACGCAAGATGTGGATATCGACAGGCAGGGCCGCGTATTTGTGACGAGTCCACCGTGGTTGGAGGGTGTACCAATCAGTTTGTCTTTGGTGACTAAGGAACAAGATGCCGGTGGTCATTTACTCGTACCCTATCCCAATTGGTCTTGGCACACACCGTTCAATTGCGACAGCATCGTATCCGTTTACAGAGTGGCGGTAATTTCACAGCTGATACAGCCAAAGAAATGTCATCTTGTCCTTAGCGGAATTCTCTTATACATGGCCTCAAGAGCTTCTTCTAAAACTAAATGGAAGATAGGGGGAAAGGTCCACTAGTCGGCAATCCACCAGTTTTCGGCATTCTTGCGCGGATGTTGTTGGGTACTAAGATGTATAGCGGGATTTGAAAGAAAACGAATAACTAAACGATACATAATAATTGATGAGTAATTAGTAAATAGTTAACAGATCTCTCTATACACACCCTGATACTGAATAGGATCCGAGCAAGAGTTTCAAGAACTGGTGAGTGCTGTAACGAATGCCGGTTGTTTGCCCCTATTCTGAGCACAATACTCAAAGTTGAGCAATTCGTCTTTTATCTACAATACAAGTCTTGTTCTTAATAGGAATGTCTTCTAGTAAGTAAGAGGCCATTCTACTTCAAGTAAATATATTCCTCTTAACCTTTAGGCTGCCGGTATTTTTCATTGAAAAAGTGGTTTTTTTTTTCTCAAAAATTTTTCTATATAAATAACATACACATGGCACACAATTTTGAGATTTGTGCAAAGCCACAAAAGTGGCTTTCCCGGCAGTTTAAAGGTTAACACAAAAGAGAACAAAATTTAAATAAATCTAGTAGATTTCTAATCAATATAATTCACTCTATTACACTGAAAAGAAGAATATCTAAGAGATAAAAGATATTTATTCGATAGGTGCTATAATGACATATCTATTTATACTAATATAAAATATTTCTCAGATAAGAAAATATATTTTGAAAATATATTTTAATCTTATCTTTTCATAAAAGTAATTGCTCATTCCGTTTAAATAAAAAAATTTCAATGATTATGTTATTAATACCCACCGAATATTTTTCATCTATTTAGATATTTTTTCCTCTTAGGGAAAAATGGGATTATAGAAAATAATATCTGGCAATTAGAGTCCTTTTTTTAAATGTTAAGATATTTTCCCTTTAGCTTTAGAAGAATTTTTTTGAAGCCATCTACACAAGAAGATTCTGCTAAGGATAAGATTATATTTTTTTAGTGTACCAGTCACATACATCCGATCGCAGCGGAAAAATGTCAGACGCTCCTGCCGACGTCGTCGTTAATACAACATTTTTCCGCTGTCGATTAGGTGTCTAATCATAAGCGTTTCTTCTTTTTTGGACATACACAGAATTGATCAGTTATGCGTAATAATATTTAGATCGACGAGTGCAATCGTTTGTGGGTGGTCGACAACGGTAGGGTGACGATGGAAGCAATTTGCCCTTCGAAAATATTGATCTTCGATCTCGCCACGGATCAGCTGATCCATAAATACGTGGTGCCGGATGATCAAGTGCTGTACGGGAAGGCTTCATTAGTTACGCCAATCGTCGATGTCGGAAAAACGTGTCTCGATACTTATCTCTACGTGGCGGACGTGGATCAACATGGACTGGTGATTTATGACTTATATCGCGACCATTCCTGGCGAGTAAACAACACGCGTGGCAACGCTTTCGGCCCGGACGAGGATGCTATGAATATTACGATCGCCGGCGAGTATTTCGATCTGACCGACGGTACACTCGGCATGTCGCTGTCGCCGATGGGCTATTTTAATCACAGGTATTGGTGCTAATTAATGTCATTCTGAATTTATTCGCTGCATGAAATCGAGGAACGCACGTTTGTCTGAACTCGAAGGGATCGCACACAAAAATCTCATGCTTAGCGAAATTTCCTTATATTATAACCTCAAGAGAGGATTCTTCTAGGAAAATATTCCAACACTTCATAAAAAAGAACTCTAATTGCAAAGCGCTATTTCTTGCAATCCCATATTCTAAGCGAACATTTTGACCGAAAGAATATTCCTCTTCTAATATATGAAAAAAAATAATATATAATAATTCTTCTAAAGTTAGAAAATAGAAAAAAATATTTTTTAATACCTAAAAAATAACTGTAGTTGCAAGGTATTATTATTTCTCGCAATCTCATATTCTAAACGAGAATTTTTATCGGAAGTGTTCCTCTTCTAATATGAAAAGGAATGATATAATTCTTCTATAGTTAAAAGAAAAATATTCTCACACCTAAAAATAAAAATTCTAATTGCAAGATATTATTTCCTACTATCCCATATTCTAAGCGAATTTTTACCGAAAGAGTATTCTTCTTCTGAAGAATATCCTAATATCTTCTGAAGAGTAACAGTATTGTGCGTGTGTGCTTAGAATATATTTAATAGTATTTTTTAATTTTCTAAATAAATTTTTACAATATGTTTTTTTTAATATTTAAAATATTTCAAAATATATTTTTCTTTTTGTGTGACTTTAGAAGGGTCCTCTTGAAGTTACATATAAGAGGATTCCGCTAAGGATATATTTTTTGAGAGTGTGTAAATTAGTGCGCGTCGTTCCTTGACGAAGTTTGCAGTCTAATTTCGTGAGTGGAATTTTACGGAATTCTGCGCGCTATTATTCAGTATAACAGGATGTGGGGTCCGTGTTTATTTTTCCATTCCGCGTTAATTAGGCTGTTTGTCTCGCTCGGGCGGGACAGAGCTCGAAAAGTTTTTGCAATATTCGATACGACCGAACAGGTCTTTCGGGTAATCTAATCCCCAGCACGGCCAGAAGTTATTCGCATCTGTCACAATGTTTACCACTTTCAGATATCTGTATTTCAACTCGCTTGCGAGTTACCATGAAAAATACGCGGACACCTTTTCGTTGGCGCGAAGTGAGTTCTGGGAGCCGGTGATATTTCAATCAAATTACAAGCGCGCGAGCCAAGCGGGCGTACAGGCGACCTCCCGAAGAGGCGTAATATTTTTCCAATTGGTCCAATTAACTGCCATTGCCTGTTGGGACATCGGGAAACCATTTACTCCGGAGAACGTCGTGATAATAGCGCAAGACGAGGAGACTCTGCAGTACGTGAGCGGCATTAAGGTGATCACAAATAGGGCCGGCCGAGAAGAATTGTGGTTCAATACCAACAGGCTCCAGAAGACGATAAACAAGAGCATGAAGCCGACGGAGATCAACTTCCGTTTAATCAGAGGAGTGGTCGACGACATCATTCGCGGCACGAGATGCGAACCGTCCGTGCATCGGACACGGGTACCGGACAACTCTCTCTTCTGGCATCAAATATAACTCACCAAGACTTTACGCCTTTTGTTACCTCACTCGCGAATGACCTGTGAAATGTTCCTATATATTCACACTCGCGCCTGGAGTTCCTCTAGTCAGAATTGGAACGAAGCATGATTCCTGATTGGTCCGCATCTTGTCTACCATTTTTCGGAGAGAGAGATTCTAAGACTGAAACGATGAAGCACACTGCAGCTTTTCTCTCTCTCTTTCACCTACTTACTCGCTTCTTCCTTACAAATGGCGGACGATGTCCCAACTTTGACTCGAGGAACTCTACTCACGCCAATTCACAGGCGGTCTCTCGCGACAGAGAAGGAATGTCGTTAGCCCGAAACGCGTTCAAGACTCCTAGCAATATAATAAACTCGCGCATGCGACAGCGCAACGTTCTCATAAGAAAACCACCCTCTTCTTCATGTCAAGTTTCGCATCCAGAGACGGATTCGCAACTAAAAGCGACGGATCGCTCGCGTATCCAAACGCGGCCGGGTAGAAGGGCGGAATGGAGCGGTTCCCTGCGAATGACAGCCGGAGCGTGTAGCAATTTAGTTAACCGTTTCATTGCTGCCTTTTGAGATGTAACGATGAGGTCTGTCGGTGACACGAGCGCCGCCACGAGCCCGAATGTTTCGACAGGGTAGCTTGACGCCGTGAGTAAGGGAACGACGAATTCGCAGCGCAAGGGTAGGAAACGCGGCACAGAGAGAGAGGAAGAGAGAGGGGGGGAGAGAGAAAGAGAGAGAGAGAGAAGTCGACAAGAGTGGAGAAGGGGGTAAGGACGACGCGACGAGTTTCTTGCCGAGGATTCGACGAAGTTTTACCAAGCTTTTAGGCGCACCGCCGATTCCACGCCGTGGCGACGACGACGACGACGACGACGACGGTGGCGATAGCGGCGGTAGGTCCGGAATAAATGCGCATTCACAGAGAATTGTTCGCGTTACTACCCCCTGGGATACCAATAGGGCGCGCGCAATTCCGGGAAATTCGTGTCACCTACTTCTCTTTCCACGGCGTGGTTCGGCGTGTGACTAATGGCGGCATATTCATGGCGCAGCCTCACCCCTCCCGGTCCCCGCGACACCACCCGATCCACCCTCTTACGAAGCTCTGGCAGTTAACCTCAGACAACCCCTTCGTCGCGATAATATACGGCTGCCCTTAAATTTTCGCTCCCCTCCGGCGTGCTCGCCCGGCCTATCTCACCTCTCAGAGCGAGCAGCGCGTTCTTCTTTTCCGAGAACGCCTCGACTAACGAGAACGAGAGATTATTGCGGCTCAGTGTCAATTTTCAACGGCACGTTTTTGTCACCGTTGCGAGAAATCGTTCATCGTCGATGGAACAAGAGCGCTTCGGAAAACGACCGTGCGAAACACGCATGTCTGTCCCGAACGTATCCACCTGTGTTTGCGCACATGTTAGCTCCGGCGTATGAGAGCGCCGACCGGTTACGCTTAAGCTGAAATAACATCGCGTACGGACCGCGGGCGAAGCGCGCGATAAAGCACATTTTCCGGCGCGCAGTCGAGACGCGCGAAAGCACGCTCTCGCGATCAAAGTCGTTACCTTAAGGGCAGGATGTGGAATTACTTAAGGAACGGTAGTACGCCGCGGTAAAGTCTCACCGCGGGCGTGTCCGCGGCGCGGCGCGGGGGTGGAGAATGTCTCAAATCGTTTTACGAGGGTAGTTTTAAAACGACTTTACGAGAACGGCTCGGAATTTCGAAATAAATTTGCATCAGTTTTACTGCCCCTAATATACATAACTACCGGTGTTTGGCACTGATACTCCCGCGCGTACACGACCCGAATGGCCTAGACAGTGCAGGCGCGCACCACTCTCCCCGCCGGCGATATATCCGTCCTTCTGAAGGAAAGGAGACGCGCGTTATCTTTTTTCATCGCTCGCTCGCTCGCTTACTTACTCGCGGTGTGGTACGCGCTGGTAACATGCGTTTACGCAACACCTGGGCCGCGCCAAGGAGAAACGATAATAAGCCGCCACTGGCCAAGCGCGTCACTTTAATCGCGTGCAGTTGCCAAGTGTTACATTATTATATCACTTCGTCGACCGTATATTCATTCGCACGCTTGTTTCCCGCGGAAGTAATCGATAGACAGATCTGCGCAACTATATTACTTCGCGGAAAAATGCACTGGGAGTTTGCAAAAAGTCGAATTTTTAGTTGGTTATATTTTATTATATTATAATACTATTACGTAAATATTTTTTATTGAGAGAGAGAGAGAGAGAGAGAGAGAGAGAGAGAGAGAGAGAGAGAGAGA